TGCCCGCCTACATGGTGAAAGGGAAATGCAGACGAGACCTGTTACCCCAATTCACTGTACAACGTGAAACTCGAACAGAGGATTGCGGGGGCGGAATGCACCGAATGCGATGGTTTTACAGACTGCTTTGGGATGGTGGAAACGTCGCTTATCATGACTACATGAAGACAGTGCTGACCAAGGAGGAGATCGCATCAATGCTCAATCCAACCGCAACAGCTGAATATGTCGGCGACATTTTCGAATTCTGGCTTGGAATGCTTGACCTGGGTATTCAATTTCCTACTATGTTCGCTGGATGGGGGGCAAACCTTGACAGTTGCCTCGCAGGACTGGAAGAGTCATTTTGGCTATTCAGCAGTTCATGTCGACCTACCGACACCATCAACACAAAGCGAAACCGATCCAGGAAAGCATACATTCCACCGGTCGAGAACAACATGGTGATTACAATCTTGAGAGAAGCGGGAATCTTCGAACTACTCATGCAGAAGAAGATCACCAGAATGCCGGTGCTCCCGGAAGCCAACTACGACGACCATCCTGAAATGATTGAGGTCTCTTCAAGCGATGAGGAGGAAGATGAAGTTGGCGAACCTGAAGACGAGACCACGACGCCTACGGCGCGGGGCACTCGAGCAGAACAAACTTCAGGAGAAACCGATGCCGGAGCCGGTGACATCGAGATTGAGGAGGAGGAAGATGACATGGGGGGCCAACCTTCGGAGGCGAAGAAGCGCCGAACTGAGGTGCGGAACATCCGTGATCGATTTGAGAAGCTGATTGCAGATGCATCGAGTGTTCAGTATTGTCTCATTTGTGGTGGAATGCATGACATTGATGAATGTACCACACCAGATGATGAGAAAATGAGGGACACCCTATGGCGCATGAGGTTGATCATGGATCAGAAGTCCAAATCCCCATCATCTTCGGAGAGATCCAATGCCGCGACAAGAGGCAGAAAAGACAAGCTCCCAAAGAACGTCATGCCACGAGGAAAACGTTGGGGAAGAACCAGATTCACTGAGAAAGAAGAAGTGACCAAATGCTTCTACAGTCAGTCAGCCTATATGTACGACATTGGTGATCGTGAAGAAGGAGGACAGTACTTAGTGAATGGCGTCGAAGTCAACCCAATTAGCCGAGGTGTGAAGAATCGTCACGAGCTTGATATGCTGATTGAACGTGCGGCTGAGGAATCCCCACCTGTTTTGCCGACCATTGAAGAGCTGAACGCTTGGAACCCCAAAGATCATGATGCATATGTAAAATGGCTTACTGAAGAAAGGAAACAACGTGGAGACAACTGGAACTTCAAGTACATCCAACCATTCACACATGGCCATAACATTGGTACACTTCAACTTGCTCGCATCAATGGAGAAGAATATCTTGGAATGGGCTGGTGTAAGGTGCATCGATATGGCGAGAATGAGTGGATGGGCAACAAGTGGGACAATCCGCAATGGATAGTCGAATTGTCGAAACGATTCAATGCAGCGCTACGCCACTCCGTGGGTTGCGTCAAAGACAATCGAAATCACCGTGGACTACCATGCGATGAAGCAGGTTGGGTCAATGTCGAATCGATCTTGAAGTACGACAACATTTGGAGAGACCAGCATACATTGGCTGGAACGACCCGCGTCAACTACCCAATACTTGTTGAGAGGTGGAACAATTTCCAGAGAGTGATCTTCACTGAGTACAAGCAGACGAAGAGGATCCGAGCTCAAGTGCTAGGACTCAAAGTCACGAAAGGTGAGTTGGAACACATCATGAACAACTTCAATGACGAATTGACCTCGAGACTTGAACGACAAACACTGAGATTGGAGATCGGAACAGCAGATCGAGAAATTTGGCTATGGCCGGTGGCAATCCGTGCCCCTATGGCACATTCAAGAGTTCAAGGCGGTGTGCACATTGAAGACAAGAAGACTTCCTATCAGATGAACCCTGGAGTCGGATACACTCTTGGAGGAGGATTTCACTGCACCACTTTTGACAACATCGCTCAAATATTCAGAGAAGGACTACGTCCCGGAGGAGGAGGCGACCGCATCAATACGTTCTTCGTGCCATTCGCACCGTGGGACGTACGAAGTCAGTCGGTGCTGAGATTCAGGAAGATCGAACAAACTGATCTTGTCTACATCTACATCACGTACGATTCCATCGCCAAGTTCTCCCCTCGATTGTCAGCAGACGGACACATTTTGGTCCAAGAAACGATTCCATTCGAATCACTCGATGCAGTTTGGTACTACGATTGCAAGGAAAAGGACTACTACCGTCTTATGATCACGAAAGGGAAAGATCAACTCGTGCTTTCAGTACAAGGAGCAAGGAGGGTGGCCACCATTGAACGATTTGACAAACTCATTGGGAACATTGTGCCTGATGAATCATCACCCGATCTGAACGAACTTCGAAAGCTTGTCGATATCAAGACCGGTCACTTCAGTCATGCTCACAGATTGTTCCCTGGACATCCGGATTGGAATGATGCAATATCATTGTTAGCAGTCACTCATCATCCCAGCAAGGAGGACCATCGACTATGCCCCGCATGTCTGATGGAGACCCCTGCACCATTATCGATTTGTGTGATGTGCAAAGGATTTTTGGTGAGTCACGGATGGAGGAAACGAATCAAGATCACCGTTGCTACAGTACCAAGTGCCGAATCACACCATCGAGAAGAAGATCTCAAAGACCATGTCAAGAAAGCATGGGAGGAGGTGAAGATCGATTTGACAGGTGATGGTGATGACGACGAGATGATGCCAGATGATGATGACATCAACATGAAGAGTCCAGAACAAGAACCTCAACCAGAAGAGGGAGATGATGACCAAGCCTCGAAGAAGGGCGACATCAATGATGAGAAAAGAGACTTCAGAGAACAAGATGAGGTCGACAAGTTTCTCAACCAAGAAGGAAAACCGACCGGCGAAAATGACGATGAAGAGATAGCGGTCGATGAAATCAACATTGAAGAATATGAGGCTGGAGAAGCTCGTGATGCAGTGGTTGAGTACCCCAAGTGGATGAAGCGGATTGAGTTTGGATCAAAGGTCCTACCAATCGAGCCTTGCACAATTGGAGATGCTCAACCGGAGCTCATCAAAATCCTCCTGTTGCAGATTGGATTACATATCGTCAGGATCTACAGACTATTCCAACGGAACTTCTGTGGAGACATCGAGACGGCATGGAAACACTTTCAACAGAACCGGAAATTCAGGATGGACCTGGACTCAAGAGTGCCTTACCTAGGCGAGGATGAGAATGGTGAACTCATTGAACCAACTGCACAACAGATGAAAGAGCTCTACGAAGAGATCGGCCGACCAAATCAAAAGGACGACATCGGAGAAGAGGGATTCGTCAATGCATACTATGGGGCAGTGGTACTCAAAAGGCTTCTCATATATACCCTTGAATGTGGCTACACGTATGATGACTTACAAAATATCTTCTTTGAAGAGGAGATGGAGAAGCTGTCGAAACGTGACACAACGATGGATGAGATGAGAAAGACCACAGCGGCCCGCGACGCCCTTGACCGACAAGACGTCATGGTCAGAAGAATCATTGCAGGTGCATACAGGGTGAATGCTGTTTATTTCTTCAGGAACGTCGACTTTCAAGACACAATCACACTGAACCCAGTTGACATTGTGTGTGCTCTTCGTCCCGCACTTCGAAGAATATCACTTTTACACCTGATCCTTCAAAATGGCCGACAATTGCCACGACCTCTACTCCAGAAGCTGTATGATGCGATCGATGACTACAACCACATCAAGCAGCGGGACGATCAACGACCAAGATGGGGCATCCACATGTCTGACGCCCACATACTTGCGATTGCTGATACCCCAACTCCTGCTGATCGTGAACGTGCTAACCAAGCCGCTGGCAAATCGAAAGCAGCCCCGAAAGCGGCAACAGCACTGGGCAGGGTGTCAAAAGCGAAAGCATCATCGTCAGCAACATGGAGAACAGTTGAAACCGCTCCTCCGCCAAAACAAGCTCCAGTAACCCCGCCACAGAAAGGTGGAAAAGACAAAGGAAAAGGTGGAAGATCTTATTCGCACCGTGGTGGCGACTGGAACCAACAGGGATACTATGGATGGGGATATAGATGATGAATCGATATGACCTCTGCATAGGTCCTGATTGAACCTGGCGATGCGAGGATGCAATCATTGCTCGAGATTTACCTCTATTTCATTTCGAATGATTTCTGAGAGGACTCTGAGCCGGCTAATTTAGAACCACACATTTTTTTTGAACATCATTGCACGAGACGCTGAGTTTCTACAGCGGTCTACATCTCAACAGACGAAGGAACGGGAAGGTAAACTTCTAGTTCCATAGTCAACTTTGTGTTTTGATTTCTTTAATTCACATGCTTGAGTGGGATTCCATGCTGGCTACGCCACATCGGATGAACCTCAATGCTAGACACCGACTACGTCGTGTCTACGTGCACGTGAACAGAACCTTTTATCTTTTGGTAGAGATCGTAGCAAGCCGCCATGTAGATGTAAAGTTCTGAACGGACTTTAGCTCTCCATAATTCAATAAATGAACAACTGCAGATGTAGTGGATCAATTCAAGGGACACTCCTTTGCGCGTGGCCGACAAAGTTGGCCATGCGTGGGGGGTGCGAATAGAGTGTAAGCTACGGACCATTGTACAATATCACATAATTCAACACTCTAAGATCCACAGCCAAAGGGCATGACACTCGCCCTTTTGGCTCAAGACCCACTGCAGCACCAGAATAAAGAACTGCCATGCAGAAGCCGCCACCCTTGTGACGTCATTGCCGAAGTTGTCTACTTCAGAACCAAGTACCAGGACATAATCGGACAGACAATCCCCGATTCTCAATATATATATATATATTACGTAATGATATTTATTTACCCAACATACAGCCACCATGGTTTTTGTTTTTCCCCATGACTGCCATGGCGAGGTGCTGACGTTGAACGTGGAGTTGGATGGCGGCCTGGCGCGACCGGGGAAAATCTCCACGTGGTGGCGCCAGTTTCGACAGATCAGGTGCCTCCGTGCCGGGGAGGTCTAGAAATATCATCCAGAACTTTGATATGAGGCATATATATCATATATAAAATATATAAAAATCATATGTTTGATGCTAGCATATTGTAATAACATTTTTTTTAAGTGTATATTAATGACAAGTGTAATATACACATGCAAAGTCAGGCGGTGGCGGATAGATTTGCAGTAATGCATAAGCCAATTGCAGATCCACCAAGCTGTGCCTTCTGGAAGTCTTCCTCCCATGAAACCAATATTCTCATCCAGACACTTTGAGTCGACACACTTACCTTAAGCAGACCATTTATCTCGATACCCGGCCTGGTAAACGTACAAAAAACGAACTGGAAAGATCCACCATGCTATTAATGGGTAAATCAACGAACTATTGCCATTCTCAATAGTCAACTGTAAACGTTTACCAGAGGGTATTTCAAGATTTCAGCCAAACATGTCTCAGGGATTTTCCGGATCATTTGGGGATGAAACTGCTAAGAGTCAGCGACGGAAAACGGGTGATTTTTGGAGACAGCTCTGCGACTAGGAACAGCTCTGGCAACGATACGGCTCTGCGGTCGAAGCCAGTTGTGGTGCACTGGACCTGAAGTGCAGGATGTCAACGGGTAAACTTTGAGGGAAAAACGACATGCTACGACTTGAAAATTGATTGTCTTAGATATATATAATTAGTCTAATCTTCTATCAGTGGGGATAGTTTGATATGTTCCAACCAACCTTTTTCAGAGTTGTTTTGACATCCCAGGGGTGTCAAAGATTGCCGAAATGACTTATGGTCCCAAGAAGTCATGGAACGAATTGAACCAATTATCATATCCATAGGATCCATGTATGGTATATATATGCTAACATTGGGGGTATATTGATGGTAAATGTTACCATATATAGCATACATGGATCCTATGGGATATGGAGATTATTGATCTGAGATGGCCCCCATCACCGAGCATTGGAGCATTTGGAGCTTGATGGGCTCGCTTTTCCAGCAATCTGGGCTTCGAATGGTCGGATTCTTTGGCTTTTGTGAGATTGACTTAGACTTGACACCTTTTTTTGATCTTGAATCTTAAATCTTAAGTTCAGTGCTGGTTGGGGGTCAAACATCAATCACATCAATCAAGTAGAGATACACACTATCCATCCCTATCCATCTCCAACCTTTCTGGCTCAGGTATTGCCTCACTTGAATCATTCCAACTTCTGCCCTGGCTTTGATGTAGCTGGCGACTTGAGAGCCGAGGTGACTAGCTAGGTTTGTATCATTTTGCAGCATATATTGTTGTGATGTTTCATCTGTGCACAGTGAAAAATGATTGATTGAACTTGATTGAAATTTCTTGATTTGGCATATCGGGTGAAAATGAACGGAAGTGAAGCAATCGTGAGACATGTGCTTGTGATTTGCGACCGAGTCGCGGGGGGGGCAGCTCAGGGCAATCCGAGACTCAACCCTTCACGTTATGCATGTTTTGCACATGGCACGCGATCAACAACAATATGTACAGATCCCCGTTGCAAGACTGACCCATTTCCTCCGATTCGAGATCTTGAGTTGTTGAAGGGGGCCTATTGGAGTTATTTGGAATTTGACTTTGACATGAATCAGTTATCAGAAGGTAATGTTTGGAAACCCTCTTTAGGGCTTTTGCATATAGGATGATCATCTTTGATATCTTTATCCTTTGCTTCCAAAGATATTTCCCACCAGCGTGTCGACTGGGGAAAACGCCATCAGGTCCCCCAAGCAGAGGCTACGCGATTCTTGGCTTTGCAAGAAGGAAAATGGAGCTACTTAGATGGGCCATGGAGTTAGTTAACTAGTTATAGTAAATGGATTATTTCATTGCGATATATGAGATGATAAGCCCAGTTACTAACCAGGAATCGCTAATCCTATGGCCCATGTAAGTAGTGTGTGGGTCTGAAATCAATGAAGAAAATCATGAACAACATCTACATACGATGCCTCGACCCACATCTCACAGCAGCATGGTCTTGCTACTGATCAACCTAATAGACTTCCAAATTTGGAATAATTTGGAGGGTTAATGATGCTTTTTTGCACCTGAAAATACCATGGAATTCTGGTAGACATCCGGTACCCATGACGGATCCATGGTGCTGGTATATATGCTAACATGACTGGGGTATATTGATGTATATTGATGGTAAATGTTACCATATATAGCATACATGGATCCTATGGGGTATGATCCGGTAAGCTTTGGAAATAGACACAGTTTCAGATGTTTCAGGTCTCATCGCGGACACTGTGGCTGCCTTTTTGACGCTCCACATGAACGCCTCACAGCAAAGCCAAGCCAAGGCAATTAACGCTGAGCACTGCTTTGATTCGGATATCAATTTGGCAGAAATGTTGCAGAAATGGCAGAATTCATGTTTTGTTTCGCACGTTTCCTGCGGAAGGCCTGCCAATGATTGTTATCATTGAGCCAATTCGGGGAAACATGGACAGGATGGATGTTGAGTTATCACAAGGTACTACAGTTGATCGACTTCAATATGATATACCAGGATGCATCAAATGTATGCTTGTTTTTTTTTGTTTCGAGGATGAGATGTTGAATTGCCATGCCAGCTCCGGGGTTGCTTCTGTGATACCATCACGATAAGTTTGTTTTCGATTAAAACGGCTTTACCATGCTTTACCGTTTCCTCTCAAAGGAGCGACATTTCAAATGCCGGCTCCAGTAATCCTCAAGTTTCAATGGTTTTTCAATAGCTGAGGCGTCTTGTACAGAGAAAACCATGTCTCCCCAGGCTCCCCACTATCCAACTTGGCAAAATTCAGTGGCAGACCATGGCAGAGGCCTTGCAGATGTTGGAATCTCAAGTGGATTGGACTGAGCAGCTGATGACGCCCTACTTGAAGGCGTCAAAACCCGTGGATCACAATGGCAATTGGGATGACGTTGTTGTGATGAGAATTGTACGCTGATCATCTCTGATGATTGAAGATGTATTGTGAGAGAATTTGAAAAAGCCAAAGATATGTACTGTGCCACACCCATTCTTTACCAACCAGCCCAAAATCGCCATGACTGGTTGTCATGAACATCCCCTTCGGGATGCTGATGACATCACCCCCAAACCTGGCTGTCATGGCTTGTCACAGGCTCAAGACTGGGAACGTGATGCCATGAACCACTCCGTGAGCTCTGAAGGTGGGGGCTTCCTAGCGAGGAAACATGGGGTTATACAATAAGAGGGGATGATTACACAATTGGTTGTATGGAAATACTTGTGAATATTGTTGATTGGGTTCAAATGTCTTCAAATGTATTCAACATATTGGGGATTCTCACAATCCAGGATAATCCATGGCCTGGTTTGTTTTGCCATGAAAAGGACATAAAAGGACATAGAACTCAAATAGTTGCTTTGAGGCCTCTCTCACGGGATGGTATGAGGTGCAAGTCCCTTCTGTGCTTTGGCCCAGCGCACTTTGGCGGGCCTTGATCATAAGGATGATCAGCGACTTGAGGTGCCTCTGGTGCCTCCGGTGCCGGTGTCCCCGCCACAAGAAGCCAGTCCTAAAGCTGAGACAGATAGCAGAAGTGGATATTCCATGATATTCCAATAACATCTAATACCCAAAGGCATGTAAAAAAAAAACAATGCACCATTTGGAAGTTGCTCACTTGGAGTCCAAGGTCCTGTCAAAATTGATCAAAATTGTCCCCTGGACATGTCAAGTCTTTGAACTTTCCAGATGCAGCAGATGTCCCGTTGCGGGACCTTCTCCCAGCTGTTTTTGGCTGATCCAAGCGATGTGCCCGGGTTGTTGAGCCGTTGAGCCGCTGAGCCGTCAGGTCTTGGACGGCTTTCACATCTCATCTCCGAATTTGGAGCATTGTCATCCCAACTGGACGGTAGAAGATCCTGGGCTCAAAGCCGAGCGCATCCAAGCGCCGGCACAGACTTTTAGGGATGCGACACTGGCTGAAGTTTGGAATTTTTGGGCCTCAAGCTGATTCAAAGAAGTCAAGGGGATCAAGGGGCAAAAGTGTGCAAAAGGATGCGTAAGGCACATCAGTTTCAGGCTGAGTTATTTTCTGTGAAACACTGATAAACACAGACTAAATAGACAAAAAACATGGAAAAACGATGGAGACAACCTATCAGTTCTTCAGTTCTTCACTTCAATAGTTGCGGGTGTGGAACTGTGTTCTTGCAACGCAAAAGTTATATCCACAGTGACCGATTGACCCGCAGAATGCCTGCAGGAGGGATCTGACGAAGTGCGACTCTTGGTGCGATCATGCAGCCATACCAACTACTACGCAGACCTCAGCAACTTGGAACTCCAATGCAAAGTCAGGCGGAGTCAGCATGCGGCTGGCCGCCGGAGGTAGATGATCTTCATGATTTTTCATGCCTGTGACAAGAGATCATGTGAGATCTACCCTCCGGTAAATTAACATAACTATGGAAAATCACCATTTTTTATTAAAGGGTAATTCAACGGACTTTCTATGGCCATTTTCAATAGCCAACTGTGAGTTTACAACTATAAATGGCAATCTTCAATAGCCAACGGAAACAAACTACCAGAGGCAACACCGGCAAGTTCACTGCAGCACTGGAAATCGGCTGCAAGTTGCTGGCCGCAACACGCATCGAGCAGCAGTTGAAGGTGGGGGGCCATGGCTGGTGATATGTGGTGATGTTTGTTTCGGAACTTGGGTGCATCTCCTTGACAACCATTGAAAGCCCAATTCTGACCGATCATTTTACAGCTTTGCGTTATACCACAGAGAGCTTTTTCAGAGGAGAACCAGGAGGTTCGCTTCAGCTCGTTCAGCTGATCGTCCGCTTGTTTTCGCCATGTTTTTCGGCAGGTGAAAGCTGCGCAGAATCATTTGCCCTGTTCGGAGATGAACAAAATGGCAGTGCACCTGGCTGAGCGGAAACTCGGCTGCACGCTGCTGAAAAAGCCAGCAGAATATCTGGCACGTTGACAGCCATTGGCCCACTCATCCAGTGATGCAAGGGTTAAATCTTTAGGGTCACAGTTCCCCAGTTTGCAGAACAGGCTGAAGCTTGGATTTTACATGATTTTATCTCAGATCTCATGCCAGTTTTGCAAAATGATGCCATGACCTAGGCTTGCACTTTCCAGCACCCTCAAGCGTTACCAGGCCGCCGCTCACATTTTGAGAACAAGGGTGATCCTTTTTTTTTTGCGTATCCCAAAATTGAGTGCCCCATTGGCTTATCTCTATTTTCCAAAATTACGTGCATTGTTTGGGATTGTTAGGTTTTATAACATGTATACACACATCCCTTTTTCAGACAAACTTTTACAGTCCTTTATTCCTAAATGAATAGTTGGACATGTTCATTTTAAGACACTGTAGGTAGGTGAGGGCAAGTGCTTCAGCAAGTTTTGCAGCTTGAAATCGTATTTTGCCTGACTCCTCTGACCGCTTCGATCCAGGGTCAGCAGGATACATTCATAACCCATTGCTGCTATATATGGTAACATTTACCATCAATATACCCCTTTTTTGTTAGCATATATACCATACATGGATCCTATGGGTAATACATAGTCATGCCAGTCGTGCCTCTTCCCAGCTGCAGTATGCAGTCGGTTGAGTTGGTTCTCCCCCATTGTATTGCAGCGCGCCCTGTGATGATGTTGCTGTGGAACAAAAGCAAACAGCTGATTGAATTCCAGGTATTCACAAACTTGTCAATGTGTCTCCTGTACATGTCTTCATGGTAGGTTGCATCTGGGTGAATGTTTGAATAGTCCCAACTGTTTTTCTGCCAAATGCAGGTGACAGTTTGTGTGGGATGCCTATTATCTCGTTCATGCTGGTAATTCCATAGGACGATGCGAAGTGATTTCTATCAAGTCTCGGTGCTACATGAACTTCTCACCTGGAATTGCCATCTTGAGATCATTGAGATCATTGTATATAGTCTATCGGGATGCCCCCAAAATGCTTCAGCTCACTTGGCTACTTTGGCACTCTTGGAAGGCCACCGGAAGGAAGTGGTGCTTTCTGCCAGACAGCCCATCCGTGGCTGGCCCCATGTGGGTTTTCCACGACAGGTGACCTGGAAATTGGAACGATTTTCATGAAAAGTTTGATGATGCTCCCATTGAAATGCCAAATTCATGGGGCTTACCCTCTGGTAATGACTCACCGTTGGCTATTGAAAATGGCCATTGAGTGATAGTTCGTTGATTTATATACCCATTAATAGCATGGTGATTTTCCATAGTTATGTTATATGTTAATTTACCAGAGGGTACCCTCTGGTAAACTAACATAACTATGGAAAATCACCATTTTTAATGGGCAAATCCACTATAAATGGCCATTTTCAATAGTTATGTTAATTTACCAGAGGGTAGGTCAAGTTTCCTGGCCCAGTTGTGACAGAAATGGTGACAGGCTTCAGCTGCACGAGAACAGCAGCTGCATGTCGGTGCAGAGCCCCGCGATGCTCACAGACGTGAACGCGGAGATTTATCCTGGAATTCATTACTGCAGCGCGGCCTAGACTGGCTGAGACTGGCTGAGACTGGCTTCTTTGAGTTCGGTATGTGAAGGGTACCCTAAAGAATTTAGGGGAACATCCAAAGACTGATGGTTGATCATCATTTTCCTTATATATATATACATATCATATAATTATCACTATCACTAATTACCTTTTAAAGGTCTATACATTTTCAAACACACCCACACAAGAACGGCTGTATATTCATGCAGATATGTCCAGATTGGAGTCAAGTCAGGAAACAGTTCCACTTCTCAGAGCTTCCCAGCTTGGTTTCTATCTGATAGAAATCTGTATCCACTGCTTTTTAAGTTTTTGGGAAGAATGGAAGGCACGATCAACTGCATTTCTTCAGAATAGTTTTTTTTCTCAACATAGGGTCCAGGGTAGGCAGAGGCTACAGACAAGCTGATGTTTATTCAACGCCACTGTCCACCGACTTCAGTCGCCAATATTTTGGAGCACTTTGGAACCATGTTGGTGTATGGATTTGAAGAACAAAAAACACGCCGATATATGGTGATATTGTGATAGCCTGCTATGGCTATCTAGCTACATTTCATGGAAGGGGCTGTTTTTTTAGCCTTTACGCTCTAATAGGATGAGCTACTTCCCCTTAGCCACTCAGATTCCATGCACCGGACGCGACAGGCAAAGTGTTGTCGCCTGCCAGAGCTTTGGATTGGATGATGACTGATAGCTTAAAGCCAGGACGGATCCGGCCAGACCTCGCAGATTCTCATGGCGTCTTAAAGCCTGGCTGTCCTGGTATCCCATGACGGATCCATGGTGCTGCTATATATGGTAACATGGATCCCATCAATATACCCCCAATGTTAGCATATATACCATACATGGATCCTATGGGTATAGTCTAACAATCACATTTCCACGGAGTCGGTTGTGTTTTCGTTGGAGTTTCGAGCCGCTTAGTTTCTGTCAGTCACTAGTTGTGGAAGCATCGCTGTTTCCAGGATCTCGGACTATGGAAGTGGTGGTGTGATCCAGTCACCGTGACCGAAGCTGAAGCTGTCTTCAGTGCAGCAGTGCTGGAGCTTGCTGGATAAGTCTATGTTAGATTATACAAATGTCAACAAATGTCCTGCCATGGGATTCTGTATGATTCCATTCATTGCATTTCATTGCATCTAACGTGGTAAACTGGAAATTAAACCCAAAAAAATGTCAACCACTCCCAGTCTTACGTATTAAACATGGCTGGGATTGGGGATTTCGTTCATCCCCAAATGGGTAGTGATAAAGCGCGCTACGTGGCGTCATTTCGCCTCGTCAATGTCTGACATGTCGGGCCGTCCCGGATCAGACATCCAAAAGCACCCGCTGTGCCCCACGTAACTTGTACATACGCCGGGGCGAGGGCGAAGGCGCTGGCCACTGTGACCACCATGCTGTGTCACTAAAAGAGATCCCTCTCCTGGGCAGGATTCGGGCAGTGACCTTAAGCGCAAGAATTCATCATATATATATATATATTAATTACATTCATAATTAATATATTAATTATTATTATACAGTTCATATGGAATTAGTTGATTAAGTTGGGATTAAGTAAGGTCCTTAGACAAGTGTCTATCTTGATATCATGAATATAGTCCCAAATCTAGAAGAAGAATAAAGAACAATATGAGGTACTTGTATGCCCATGGAATACTTAATACTTTATTGAAAACAGGAAATCACTTTAAGATCTGGAAGCAGTGCCCAAAAGTAAGAGGGTGTTTGCTCCTTCATGGAACATTACCTGAGCCGGTGAGGCACTCATTTTCTTCAAGGCTGTCAATACCAAGTCACGTGCTTCACAGGTTTTCCATCATAGCACATCCTGACTATCCCATATCCCGACTTTCCAGAAGACATTCTGTCAAAGATAGGCTTGAAACATCTTGAAACATCTTGGATTCTGGTTGAAATGTGTGGCGTGTTTCACTGGGCCATGGGTGTAGTACTTGGAGCCTCCCAGGGAGCCTCCCAGGCCATCGCAAGAAGCGAGTATCCAGACAACTCCTAGAGGTCCTTGATTTGCGCCGGTGATAGGACCTTTGGAGTCCAGGGAACCCCAATCTTTCCCAATCTTTCCCAGTTTGAAAAGGCCACCAGTGGATTGTGTGATCTCTGATGATCTCTGATATGATATTTTTAGAACATGGCCAAGAAAAATACCAGCAAACAGCCTTGCAGGTCGTTAAGAACGGCACACGAACGGATGCAGTTTCTCCAAACTTCATATTTGTCATGGTTTGGAAGAGCTGTTCGGTCAAGGTTTACTGCAGAAAAACCTCGTCTTGTTTTTTGTTTAGGCAGCTTGAGGCACTAGTGAATGATGTCGTTTTTTTTTTCCTGAGCAGTGATCTTTGTCAGACGGTGAATTGATCCTTGGGCAGCCGATCCTGGTTAGGGACTATTCCAGCCAAGATCCTGAGCGTTTTCTCATTCTGGAGGATCTGAAACAGAGGGTTTCTGTTCAGCCTGAAACGATGTGATTGAAACGGTATCAATGGGGCTCACCATGGCTCATGTTCTTTTTGTCAGGTGATGAAGAGCAGAGACCTCAAGCAACCTGTGGCTTCTGGATGGTTTTCTGCAGTTGCTGGTATATTGATGAATATTGGGAGTGTCAATCGCCATGACTGAAAGATACTCCGAAAATGGATCAGTTGAGACCTACCCCGATTGGTAATTGGTTCCGGGGGTTATACTCACCAATATGTCGGGGAAGATCACAATCCAACGGGCTCAGTTTAGTGCTTCAAGCATGGTCACAAGTTCAAGTTAAAACATATTTTTACCTCGTACTCGTATGTTTTCCAGTTCGGTCCAGCTGCTGTCACTGCTGAATCTGAGACACAGAGACACGGAGACATTGTAAGTTGCTGTGGGGCTATGACAACAAGCTGCGGTGAGTTCAATGAAAACAAAAAAAGGGGTGTTGCGATAATCTTGTTCCGGCCTGATCCACCAAGTTTCGGATAATAGTCTACAAGATTATCCACAGGTATCCAGTATAATGATCATGATTGGCTATGTTTGGCTGCTTGGAAGCTGTTTGGCTCAAAAGTTGGATAAAAAGAACTGAAGTCATGGGTGCAAAGAGGTCTTTGGAGGACTGTCGCAGAGGGAATTCCATGATATTCCAATGATGTGCCACCGAATCGTCTCAATGTCTAATCATCCCCAGATCTGAATTCGACCAGACACCAAAGAAATTGCCCAGATCAAGCGCAAAGATGTTTGTTTCAGAGGAGTGTCCTAATCACAAATTATTTCATGTCACTCTACAGTTGTTTGTTTCAGTAAATGCATCATATCACAATGATATCATGTCACGCATGATGGAAAGCCGCTGTTTTTTTTTTTTTTGCGGACATGTTTTCGTGATTGAGATACCGTCCAGCCTCTTCGGGATCCTGATGATTTTGGTGAGGAGGGAACTCCTTCCAAGAAACGGCCCAAGCACAATGCTGACGAGGGGGAGCAGGTGTGGCAACATGTTTTGATTTGTCATGATTTGTCATGCACCTCCTGTCACGTTCAAAGAACGACTTAAGATAGATCTTGATAGCTTCTATCATAGCAGCACCTCTGAAATGCAGCTGTCAAGAGCATTGTATTTGTCTGCAATCACGGCTTTGTGCAATTATTCAACTATGTTCAACTAGTGTTGGTAGCACCACCTTCTAGCACCATGCACATAGAGTGAGCCGCGACCCCTTGTGGTTTAAACGTCTCAGAAAATCATAGAACATCTTTTCAACATGTTTCAAATGGTCTCAATCGATTCACTGATTTCACTAAGCCTACCATGTCCAAATCCAATGGCAAAACTTGAGGGCCTTGCCACTTTGCCGGTGGCTCGTGGTGGTGGTCGTGGTCTGAAGGCCTCCAAGATGTGAGGTAGATTCTATGAGACCGGATGTCATTCACGCATGATGAATAGTTATACTGCTTCGCCCCTTTGGCTTGGGCGGACTTGTGATTTAATATATAATTATATATATACAATATAACATATAGTCTAGTAATGTCTAGTATAATGTGCCGACGAGCGTGTTTGGTCTTTGTGTTGGTTTCAAATGGGTTCCCTAAACAACTTGTCGAAAGAGCAAACAACAAAAACAGTATCACATCCTTTTCAAAGGCTCTAGGGACAGCTATTTTTTTAGGATCTCTTCGGTCCTTTTTCAAAGCTCAGGCGGTTCAGAACGCACGAGAGCAAACGTCGACCGCGTCAGGCACGGCGTGCACCTCCATCCCTCGGTATCCATCGGTATCCATGGGTCATCCCTGAGGCCCGGACGGCACTGTGACGCAAAGTCAGAAGAAGACCAGAGAACAGCGTGTCTTCCATGTGCCCCGGCGGTTTAAAACATGGTGAAACATGGTGAGATAGCTCTGTTTGATGAAGTTGGTGGATGTTGCAGTTGCTCTGAGATCTGAGGCCCATAACAACAAACACGTCGAGACCAAGGTGGCGACTCCAGATGTGGAAAGGGACGGCTTGTGGATCTGGTCATTATAGCAACATGCAAGTCCTTCGCATGTCTCATCTTAGGCCAGGGAAAGGCATGCGTTGACTCAGCACCAGTTCCCCCTTTGTCCCCTGAATTTCCCCCCCAAACTGATCCCATTTTGGATCAAAAATGGCAGGTGATGTCTGAGCAGAAGCGAAAGACCACCCGCAAGGACTGACCCCTTTCTTTCTTCGTCATTTGTGACGCCACTGTGGCCAGTGTTGGCTGGAGGACGGGACGGTGATTGTTACAGAGAGCAAAAGCCTCCGGAAAGAAGCTTGGTGTAAACCGTAGGGGATTTTGAGATGCATCGCTTCGCAATCTCTTTGACTACTTTAAACATAGTGTGCTGCCTTTTTTGATTTTGCTTTTTTTTTTTGTGTGTTTGTCTAATTGTGCATTTCTTTTTTTTATGTAGACAACATCTTTTGTGGAAAATTCAGTTTAACAGTTTGCACCTTTGGGAAAGCAGAAGAGACTAGCAAAAAAGTGATGCTAACATATTGTAAATGTGATCAAATTACAGTACATGTGGCGTCGGCATTTCTTTGATATACCAGTAGCCGCACGGTCGGCGGTGGCGGAAGTTTCAAGGGTAGGACACTATCGGAGTGGTCACCTGAAACCCCAAGTGCTGGATGTAGTGTGGTGTAGAAATGTGTAGAGTGTACTGCAAAGTATTATTTGTAGTTGCAGTTGTAGTTGTATTGTAGTGTAGTTGTAGCTGTAGTTGATGTAGTTCTACTTGTAATGTTGTAGTTGTAGCTGTAGCTATAGTACCGGTAGTCGTTGTAGTTGCAGTTGTAGTTGTAGTGTAGTGGTGGTGAAGTGTGGTGAAGTGTGGTGAAGTGTGGTGAAGTGGAGTGTAGTGTAGCGTAGTGAAGTTGTAGCTATAGTTGTAGTTGCAGTTGCATTGTAGTGTAGTTGAAGCTGCAGCTATGGTTGATGTTGTTGTAATCGCAATGTTGTAGTTGTAGCTGTAGCTCTAGTAGTTGTAGTAGTAGTTGCTGTTGAGGTAGTTATTGTAGTAGTTGTAGTAGTAGTGGTGGTGGTGGTGGTGGTAGTGGTAGTGGTAGTGGTAGTGGTGGTAGTAGTAGTACTAGTAGTAGTAGAAGTAGAAGTAGAAGTAGTAGTAGTAGTAGTTAGTAGTAGTAGTGGTGGTGGTGGTAGTAGTAGTAGTAGTAGTTGTAGTTGTTGTTGTTGTTGTTGTTGTTGTTGTTTTGTTGTTGTTGTTGTTATTGTTATTGTTGTTGTTGTTGTTGTTGCGCAATGGTAGTGGTAATGGTAGTGGTAGAAGTAGAAGTAGTAGTAGTAGTAGTATTAGTAGTAGTAGTAGTAGAAGTAGTAGTAGTAGTAGTTGTAGTTGTAGGTGTAGTTTAGTAGTTGTAGCTTAGTAGTTTAGTAGTTTAGTAGTTTAGTAGTTTAGTGGTTAGTGGTTAGTGGTTAGTGGTTAGTGGTTAGTCGGTAGTAGGTAGTAAGGTAGTAGGTAGTAGGTAGTAGGTAGTAGGTAGTAGGTAGCAGGTAGCAGGTAGCAGGTTGCAGGTAGCAGGTAGCAGGTAGCAGGTAGCAGGTAGCAGGTAGCAGGTAGCAGGTAGCAGGTAGCAGGTAGCAGGTAGCAGGTAGCAGGTAGCAGGTAGCAGGTAGCAGGTAGCAGGTAGCAGGTAGCAGGTAGCAGGTAGCAGGTAGCAGGTAGCAGGGAGCAGGTAGCAGGTAGCAGGTAGCAGGTAGCAGGTAGCAGGTAGCAGGTAGCAGGTAGCAGGTAGCAGGTAGCAGGTAGCAGGTAGCAGGTAGCAGGTAGCAGGTAGCAGGTAGCAGGTAGCAGGTAGCAGGTAGCAGGTAGCAGGTAGTAGGTAATAGGTAGTAAGGTAGTAAGGTAGTAGGTAGTAGGTAGTAGGTAGTAGGTAGTAGGTAGTAGGTAGTAGGTAGTAAGTAGTCGTCGTCGTCGTCGTAGTCGTAGTCGTAGTCATAGTCGTAGTCGTAATCCTGGTGGTGGTGGTGGTGGTGGTGGTGGCGGTGGGGGGGGGGGTGGCGGGGGGGGGGGGGTGGTGTGGTGGTGGTGGTGGGTGGTTGGGTGGTTGGTTGTGGTTGTGGTGGGGTGGTGGGTGGTGGTGGTGGTTTGGGGGTTGGGTGGTTGGGTGGTTGGGGGTTTGGGGGGTGGTTGGTTTGGGTGGTTTGGGTGGTTGGGTGGTTGGGTGGTTGGTGTTGGTTGGGGGTGGGGTGGTTGGGTGGTTGGGTGGTTGGGTGGTTGGTTGGTTGGTTGTTTGGTTGGGTGGTGGTGGTGGTGGTGGTTGGTGGTGGTTAGTGGTGGTTAGTGGTGGTTAGTGGTGGTAAGTAGTGGTAGTAGTGGTAGTAGTGGTAGTAGTGGTAGTAGTGGTAGTAGTGGTAATAGTGGTAGTAGTGGTAGTAGTGGTAGTAGTGGTAGTGGTGGTAGTAGTAGTAGTTGTTGTTGTTGTTGTTGTTGTTGTTGTTGTTGTGCAGCGCAGTTGAACGTCCAAAAGTTGTTCAATCGTGGTGTATACGCGGTGTTTCCTTCGAAATGTGCTTCGCGCCACAACAGCGTGCGCTTTTTCGACATGTCAACTTCCAAAGATGGTCCAACACTGAGGTGCTTTGTGCACTTTGACATGGAAATGTGCTTCGCGCCACAACAGCGTACACTTTTTCGACATGTCAACTTCCAAAAGCGGTCCGACACTGAGGTGCTTTGTACATTTTGACTTGGACACGTGCTTCGCGCCACAACGGCGTGCATTTTTTTGACATGGCAACTTCCAAAAGCGGCCCGACACTGAGTGACACTGAGTGACACTGAGGTGTTTTGTACAGCTGTTACGCAAAATCACCTCAGCAAACCTGAAAGATCTGATGCTCCAAAATGTAACCCCTCCCAGGAAATCAGCGCCCGGACCTCCTAACATCTCTGATAAACATGTCTCTTGTACTGCGCCTGCCACGGAAAATGCATCTTTTCAGATCCTCTTCAAATGTCCCACGCCTGCCATCGTTTTTGGAAAGCCACAAAACCCTCACGTTTTGCTCACTTTTGGCAAGGTGCAGAATCCCTTGCATCTGGCACGCAAAACCACATCTGACCCTTCAAAAGTGGTCCGGGCATGTGGTGCTTTTAACATTTGACTTGGAGATGTGTTTCGCGCCACAAGAGCGTGCACTTTTTCAACATCTCAACTTCCAAAAGTGCTCTGAACGTTGCGTGTTTTGTACATTTTGACTTCGAAATGTGCTTCGCGCCACAACGGCGTGCACTTTTTCGACATCTCAATTCCTAAAAGTTCTCCGAAGCTGACGTGCTTTGTACATTTTGACTTGGAAATGTGCTTCGCGCCACAGCGGCGTGCAATTTTTCATCTCTCATCCGGGCAGCTGGCTCCGCACCCGCCGCTTTAGCGAGCCTACTGTTCGACCCTTCGGAGCCACAAATCATTGAAAAACATAGGGAGTTTCGCGACTTTCTTACCTTTTCGCGCACCTGGATCTTCTTTCTTCTGACCTTTTCTCTTCTCTGATTTTCTTGCTTCTTCTCTTCTCTTCGCTGATTCTTCCCACCTCTACTTTTTCATTTCTCCATATTGTCGGAGGTTTGACTTCTAAATTTCTTTCTATGATTTGAGAATCTTGCAAGTTCTTCAAACATTGAGAATCTGTCAGATCTGCCACCAAGGTGTGTTACATGTGATTTGTCTGCCGTGGATCACAGCTGCTACCCCAGTGAAGCATTGGTGAACTGCGCGGCTGCTCGACCATCCTTATGCTCGACCACGGTTGTGCGATCGGAGATGTTTCGGCCCTCTTTCCTTCACATTTTAAGACCTGGCCTTTCAGTAGGCATGCCTGGCACAAACCGTATTCATGTGCCTCTTAATTTTCTGTTGAAGAGAATGATACTCCCACTTGATGCACAACTCTTCCGGATGGTGGTCTTCCGCCACACTTTGTGAGCCAAGGAGTACGCCAAGCAGAGATTTCTTGAGTACGGAGGAGTGCCATTTGTATCCATTTGTTAGATGTTTATTTATTGGGATTGATTTATCATGATTCATCATGATTCATCCAATAAAATGCATTTACCAGCGTTTGCTCTTGTTTCATCATGCTAGAGTTTTCCTTCCCCGTGACGTTCTTTTGAGAGATTTCACTGAGAAGCGTGCATCCTTTTTGGCGAATCGCTAAGCGGAAGCATGCGGAAGCGGGGCACAGGAATCCAGCCAAGATAAAAACAATGTTTGTATGTGTTTGTTATCATTGGCTCATCATTAGCATGGTTGTCCTACAAAACACCTAAATTAACCCAAATTCATCTAACATCATCTAAGGATCATCTAATCTAACTAAAACCTAAAATTCATCCATGTTCAATTCAAAGGTGGAAAACATGTCCGACATGTGGGGGCTACGAAAAAAATGGGGATTCAAAGCAGGATGTAGCTCTGATCGGATTGGATGTCTAGTGTCATGGAGTCATGGTGACTGTACCGGCTACTACCCCCCCAAATAAAAACGACAAAAAATTATCAAAAGTGTTTCTTTGACCACCCATGGATGTTGATGATGTTGTTTTGTTTCCAGATATGTGGAGACATTTTTAATACATGGACGAAATATGACCGAAAAATACAAAAAATGTATCTTTGCTGGGGACCGAAGGTGACATGCTGTCATGCAGCAACAATTTGAGATGCGGGGAAAATGGAAGCAGCAAGGAACGGCGGCGGAAGATTCGACTTGCAGATATTTAAACATTGCTGTCTTGAAACCAGCAATCAGATTCTTCTTGGAGTGAGACACCCTTCTTCAAATTTCTTCAAGTTCAAACTGCGGGCATCGTTGCCATCAACATTGAATCGCAACATTTTTTTTGATAGTGGGTACCCACTGCAGATGGTAATATTGCCTCCTCCACTCACAGTGCAGCTGCCCTTCTGACCATCGACTAAGCCACCCCAAAACAAATGAAAACATAAACTAACAAAAAAGAAATTAGATTCTGGTAAATAGAGGATGGTTGTCTCGAACCATCACTATGCATTCCTCTTCATCCGTGTCCTTTTTTCCACATTTTCCTTAAACGAAACGCTCTCAGGCCCAAAGCAGGCCGGAACTGGAGCAGGATTTTGGAGGTGTTTTTTTTCCACAAACCCCTGACATCTTACTGGAAGGATCGTTCTCTGACGTCCTCAGGGCTGGGGCCCGGTGGGGTTTCATTGATCGATTTTTTGACGTCTCGTTGTGAATTTGAGGTTTTGGAAGATTTTGGAAGATCCGGATATATCAGGATTCAAAAAGAAGTCATGGATTTACGCCACATGGCCACAATTGGCAGAGGTGCTTGGGGAAGAGTAAATTCAGCCGCGAAAGGACCAGTGACATCCTCATGATGGGCCAAACGTGGGCCTGCGCACTGACATTGCTGTTGGGATACGCGCTGTTCAAATAGCAACACCCCGAATCCATCGTCAGAAACGGCTTCTTTCAAGATTCAACTGACGTGTTTGATTGCTCAGAGACCTGGGTTAGGACGAAAACAAATTCAACAACATGCAAGGACTATATATATACGTATATAATAATTATATACATATATTGTGCAAGTACTGTCGTGATAATTGAAGAATGTTCAAGCCCCAAAAGTGTCATTTCATGGCATGTGATTCCCAGTTCACGGATAATGATAGCATTGAGAATCCCCAAGGATAGGATAAGCGCCGAAAAAAACATTCACCGCCCTTCTCGATTCTATCCCCGGTTAAAACATGTAAAAAGCCTTCTTAAATGATGGTTAAGCGCCCCAATCGATTAATGACATTGGCGGCAGGCTTTGCCCCTACGAAGGCTGGTGGCTGGGAACTGTTTTGCCACCACACAAAGCAATGATAGATTAACTATGTCATCAGAAACATGATCATGATGATGGTGATTATGATTGAATATGTGGACATGATATGACATGACAATTTCCTGAGTCGTCGTGAAAATGGCTTGAGTGGGACACACACACATATATATATATAATATATATAATACACAATTTGGTCAATTGAAATTAACTTGGCAACAATAATCTGCAAACGCTTCGCAGATTCGTTTCCAGATTTGGCAGGAAAAGGATGACTTGACACCTGATCACGTGCTGAGGCACCGCGAGGGCCGGGGTGTCTGAAAAAAAAAACGTGCCTCCAACATCCGGAGGTGGATCACTGGATTTTGTTCCCCATTCAAATACCATTAATCATTAAAGTATCCATTCAAATTCCAAGTAATCCCTTCTTCGTGTTGCTAAGACTCCCTCAAATAAGAAAATAGGATTGGTGTGGCACTTCCTTTTTTTCTGGTTGGACACAATTGAATTGTTAATTGTGGTATTTGAGAATCAATAGGAGAACAAGATGGGGAAACAATGGATTCAACCCTCTCTTAATAAAAGTCGGTTGCCAGCTGGAGGTTTTTTATTAGGGTCCCATCTCACAAGATTTTTCGTTTATTTTTATTATTGATGTTTTCAGTGGAATATTAAGGGGGAAGCTTCGAAATCCAGTTTTTGGTAATATCGTAAATCGATTTTAATAAGGGATTTAATCGAAATTGAAATTGAGTTTTTATTTTTATTTTGGAGGTTTTGATTGGAATATTAGGGGAAAGCTTAGAACTCCAGTTTTTGGCAATACCTGAAAACAATTCTAATAAGGGATTTCATCAAATTTCAACTGTTCAGAGCCTCAGAGCCATCCACCAGGTGCATCTCCAACCTTCAAGCCGAAATGACTGACATGGAAGTGTCCTTGGACCAACTGAGACAGGACTTGGAGGTCCGAGACGGTCGAGGCAAACTTGACATTTAAGTGTTTGAGGGGAAGACAGTATCATAAATGATACTTATATTGTATTAATTGGCGTAGCAAACCAATATATATATATATGTGTGTTATTATATATATATTATATATATATATTATATATTATATATATAAATACTTATCATTATATGTCAAGAGCAAACCACAGCCCAATTAATTGATGCTATGAATCATATATATATATTTACACATACATAGATAATTGCACATATGTATATATACCCCAGCTCTTATCTTTGCTGACAGGGTCATGAAACGTGCCCTAATTATCACGCGCCAGGCCGAGCCAGAAGAAGCTGACGAAGGTCAGCGACGCCTAGCGCAATGAAACAATATGAAATTTGGATAATCTACGTATTTCACTGTTCGCAATTTGGGGTGTAGATCCGTCAGGTTTAGATCCGATACCTTTCAAATTAAAAAAAACACTAAATCCCAGAAGTTCATGTCTGATTGTGGAATCGCCAAGAAGCAGCAATGAAACAAAAGAAACTGCGGGCATAAACGGTTTCTCCATCCCTATCCTCTTAAAAATGGAATTTGAGGGGCGGGAGTCGTACTGAAATGTCATTTTAAAATTCAATTTTTGCAATCATGTTTTCTGAATGATCCATATTCCTCATCATTCCATGTCATTGGCAAGCAGATGAAAATTAAATACTTGCGCTTAGCTCCGGAGGAGCTAAGCACATGTCAGACTGAAGCAGCAAATGTGTAGGGATGGCATCCCCCAAAAAAATGCGCTGCCGTCATCATACTTGTGCTTAGCTCCTCCGGAGCTAAGCGCAAGTATTTTCTAACCAGTGCCCAAGGCTTGTTTCGAAATGTTACTTTACAATTCCATTTGAGGGGTTGGATCACTATCCCAGGGTTTGCAAGAAAAAAAAGTGGAATTCGACAGGTTAGTTTTGCCCCCCCCGCCCTCCCCCTCTATAGTGGTAGGGATGTTTTTCCTATCAAGGCAATGATGATGTTTAGACACTTGTTGACCCATTTTGAGACATTGTGAGGCATTTTGAGCAATTTCGGGCAGATTTGAGCAATTTTGAACCATTTTGAGCAACTTTTTCGGGCCGGCTTGGGTCATTTCGAGCAATTTTGAGCATTTTTGTCGGGCAAGTTTGGGTCATGCCGCGCAATTTTGAGCAGTTTTTGGAAACACGATATGGCATTGTCGACCTTGGACAGTGTTCAAATGTCTCAATTGAGGCTGCTTTGAGACATCTTACTTTGGCTGAAGAAGGTGGCTGATGTAAACCCCACGGATCTAGACCCTAAAACGAGATCAGTGAATATTTATATAGCTCCAGTTTGATATTTTTTATATAGTTCCATGTCTAGAAGTGTTGGATTTGAAAAATTTGATTGAATCGACAGCTTCTCTAAAAATCAACAAGATTGCCATGTGAGCCCCATCTCAATCATGCCATGCTCTTCCCGGACCGGCAGGAGCCATGGCGCCACCGGGACCCAATGGACCCATTGGACCCAACAGCAAGGCAGGACCAAACAGGACCAATGTGGTGCCAGTTATAGCTTGGTTTATACATGAAAGTAAGTATGGATTTTCCTACCAAAAACACAAACATGAATAAGCTACCAAAAGCGTAAGTATAGATGTATCTACCCAAGAATTTGAGTATGCATATATCTAACAAAAACAAGGACGTGAATAATCTACCAAAACCGTAAGTATTGATGTATCTACCAAAATAAATAAACATGAATATATCTATATCTACTAACAAGGAAAGTATGGATGTATCTGCCAAAAAAACATGAATATTCTACCAAAAACGTAAGTACTTTCGTATGGATATATCTACGAAAAAAAATGAAGCATTAATCTATCTACCACAACGTGAGTTTGGATATATCTAGCAAAAGCGTTGAGTAAGTATGGATGTATCTACCAAAAAAATGCATGAATATATCTACCAAAGACCTAAGCTTCTGAATATATCTACCAAAAAAACGCACGTGCGGATGTATCTACCAAAAGATTAAACATGAATATATTTACCCAAAACTAAACTATGGATGTATCTACCGAAACAAAATATGCATGAATATATCTACCACAAACGTAAGTATGGATGTATCTACCAAACAAATTAAACATGAATATATTTTATCTACCAAAAACGTAAGGATGTATCTACC